CATCTCCATCGCTGATTACATACATTCCAGGAACCACAAGAGTGCAGGCTATCAAAGAAGAACTAAGAAACAAAGATCAGATGCTGCTCCAACTCAAACAACACCTGAAGGAAGCTCAGGACCGTATGAAGAAGTTAGCGGATGCCAAGAGATCTGAGCGCAACTTTGATATAGGAGATTGGGTCTATCTAAAACTGCAACCATACAGATAGAGCACAATTGCAGCTCGAAGGAACCAGAAATTAGCTGCCAAGTACTATGGGCCATTCAAAGTCATAGCGAAAATAGGTCTAGTTGTATGTAAACTTGACCTCCCTTCTGGTTGCAGACTCCATCCGAGGTTCTCTTATGGCTTCTTTCAGCTTTTTGTGTGCAGACAACCCCACGATTCTCCAACGCCAAATCTTTACATGATCCTTTTTTTTTTCTGATCTCAACTTTGTTCTCTTCTCTGTAGTTGTATTCTCTCTCTCTCTCTATCCCCTATAGATTTTTACTGTATTTATTAATTTATATATATATTTTAAAATTTTATGTTATTTTTCTTTAATTTTTAGCTTTTTTGCATTCTCTGTATTTTCTATAATTTCTATATTCTTTTCTATTTTTTTTTGCATTTTATGTTTTTTTTTATAATTTTTGCATTTTTCTATGCTTTAATTGAAAAATTAATGGGTTGGGTAGGTTGGGTTGGGTCAGGGTTGGTTTGGCCATTTGGGTTCAACCCAACCCATTTATTTTTCTCTAAATGGATCATTAATGGGTTGACAGGTTGAATGGGTTTGGATTGAAGCTCGACCCAAACCTAACCCGCTCAAACCCACCCAATTGCCACCCCTAAAGAGAACTAGTAAGTTTATTTACAGACAAGAGACTAAAAGGATATTTAGGTACATAGAAGACAGAGTTTGATGTGGGGCCAGAATTAAGCTGTACATTACCAATACCAGAGATAAAAGAGGTAGTGCCATCCAAGGTTCAAAATATCGATACGCCCAAGATGCCGGTATGGGCGTACCGGGCAAACCGATATAGCTTTTGGTACTTTTTTTTTTGCAACTGAGTCAGGGGAGCCGGTTTAGGCCTCCTCCACACCCTGAACCTGTCAGACCCCGATACACCCACTATAGGGGCGTATCGGAGGGGTCCTGGAATGATACGTATCGGCCGATATGGACCGATACGTGTCAATACTTTGAACCTTGGTGCCATCCACTAGGGTAACATTCAATGAAGTGGAGGAAGGAGATAGTGACATAAATGCGTCTAAAGATCCAGTCATGTGATCTGAAGCTCCAAAATCTATTACTAGGGTGCAGACGTAGAACTGGATGCAAGGCAAGGTGTACCTGATTTGACAAGGGTGGTTGTAGCACTGGAAGAAGAAGACTGATGAAGCCTCTCATACACCTCACGTGTGATAGACACTAACTCCTTCCCAGCTCTTGAAGTAGGCACCTTATCAGCACAAATACCATTACCAACATCATTTCCTACTATAGCATAGTTAGCCTAGGTAGATGGTGGTCCATATAGGTCATAACAGAAATCAACCGTGTGGCCTTCACGACCACAATAAGTACACTCATGAACCTGCCCACGTCCACTACCACTTCTGCCACCCTTGAATCCTCCTCTACCACCACCATGGCCACCTCTAACTCCATGCCTAGCACCCCTCATAGCACCTCCACCATGCCTCTTCCAGCACTACCTCTTCTAGCAAGCACCAAGGTAGATCTTTTCGAGATAGGAGTGTTCCCATTTAGTGGATTGGAATCTCTCCTAATGTAGGAGGAGAACACCTCAGAGAGGGATGGAAGGTCATTACTACCTAGAATCTGAGCCTGTACTGGTTCAAACTCAGTTTTCAACCCAGATAAGAAATGGGTAACATCTGTTGTACCTAGACCAGTTCATGGGTCGGGTAGCCCGACAGCCCGACCCATTATTTTTTGGGATTGGACAAAACTTCAGGCCCACGGTCTCGGGCTCGGCCTTTAAATACCGGGCCCAGTCATTTTTTGGGCTGGGCTCGGGCTTTCTCAAATAAGCCCGGCCCGGGCCCGAGTCCGAGTCTAGCCCGATACTATTACATATAATAAAAAAGCATTTATGTTATATATAATAAATATATAATAAATATTTGTTTCTTAAATTTTTAATAAACATTAATTTACTATTAGGAAATACAAATTTGTTTATTAATTTATTAAATTATTGCTAAATTAAGGGCCGGGCTTTTGTTAATTTATTTACTATTAGGAAATAAACATTAATTTACTTTTATTAATTTATAAAAGTACACTGAAAATAAGACATTTTGTGTATAGGTCGGGCTTTGGGCTTTATATAAGGGCCGGGCTCGGGCCTGCACATTTTCTGTTCATAAAGAGGCAAAGCCCGGCCCATGAACAGGTCTAGTTGTACCTTCAAGTCAGTAGATAAGAACTGATATACATTCAGTTCATTCCTTAGGCTTTTCAAGGCTGCATAATATACTCTTCTGCGGTTTTATCACCTTGTTGGAGGGTAAAATATTCTTGATATAATTGATAGATTCTCATCACATTGTCCTGTCCAGAGTATAACTGTTTTGCATGATCTCAAATGTCTTTAGCAGTGTCGAGGAACATAAGGTTAATATTTATGTGATTCTCCATACTATTCCATAATGATGTCATAATCTGGGCATTTTCTTGTACCCACTCATTGAACCCTTCAGGCCCACTCCTAGGCTGGTCCTCCTTGATATACTTCAATTTTTCTCTCCCAATTGATGAAACTTCCACCAACTTCGCCCATGGTACATAATTGGTAATTAAGCTTGACTGTTGTCAATTGGGAATTAAAAAAATCTTGCTGTAACACTACAGCAGATTTAAGACTACCATTGGATGAAGCCATCGGGCCAAAGAGACCAAAAAGGGAAAAAAAGAGAACACTGCTCACTGCTCCGGTTGCTTGGTTAATATGCTAGTGCTAACAACTACTCAAGAAGGCTCCTTGTAAAAAAAAAAAAAAAAAACGAAGCAAAGCTGTAATTCTACTATACTCAATTTTCAGCACTGAAAAACCAACAAAAAAAAAACATACTACCTACCTGAATCACTAGGACAACCTCATAGCCACACAATCAGGCTGCTGCTACACCTGCCACATCACACCACTTGATCACCACAACTGATAGAGAACTGGGATGACTAGTTTGAACATCGAAACACACCCTTCTTCAGGTTGCCAATTAGAGGGAGTCTAGGAAACCACCCAAAAACTGTCAATGACTGAAACCTGAGGCATGAATGCTTCCTACACTCAAAAGAGTCTTCCTCTGAAGTAGAGAGGAAGTGCTCTCAATGGAAATGTTTCTTGTGATGCCAAAAGCAGTCCAGGTCGATTACAAGTGCTCTGATACCATGTAATCTTCTATAGACAGCAATTAAAGAAGAGGAAAAATAAAGATAAAGTGAAGAAGAAGGATCCAGTATTGGGCATGCTTGTTCGCCACCACTTGTATCTTTTTTTTTAAATTTAATGAAATTCTTCTTTGTGGTTGCTGATAAAAAAGAAGGATCCAGTTAAGAGAAGAAGAGAAGAAGAGAAGGGTTTTCCAGTCAGAGAGTTCAAACTAGACTCCCCTATTAACTGTCAACCCTTATACCTTATTTCATAACTTAAAGTGAAATTACAAGATTGCCCTTACTTAAGTTATAGCAAGAAAAAAGAGTAAACAGCCTAGTAAAAACAGGAAGACAATTATACTCCTGCTAACTAGACTTTATTACTTTAATATGTAGTAATGATGAAAGATATGCTATTGTATGATACATTTATTCTTAAAGCATAAAAACATTGACAAAATCACATTATTAAGCAAAAAGCTACTAAAATTGCACGGATATTAAGTCTAGATACACCAAGGGGAAAAAAGGATAGAAGGTGGAATTGCACGGATATAAAGTTTTTCATTTTTTGTTCTTTTCCAATGATATGTCACTAGGCAGGGTGGAATTGCAGAACAGGGTTAACTTGTACCCTACTATGAGAGTAACAGTGCAGTATCAGTATTATTTAGGTTCTGTTTGTAGTGCAAATCCAAGCCTGGTACAAAATGGTGCCAATTTATATCCATATTCTGGGGTAAATTTTGCACTTTCCCATGTTTTTGCACCTATTGATGGTGTATATTTTGTACCCCCTTCCTTTTCACCTTTATTATCTCCCATATAAAGTCAGAACATATAATTTCACTTCCAGTTTTACTCCTCTGAAACAAACAAATTACAATCTGAAACAAAAGTGGACCAAAGTTTGCACCCCCATGCATATGCACTGCAAACAAACAAAGCCATAATTCTGTCATGGGAAATGATGATGGGACGTAGGTGAACAAAGAAGAGTTTGTTTCTAATTTCTTAGCTGTAATATGTTTTAGTACGTATGCTGCTTGTCAAAATGCGGTGAAGATTCTATGGAGGATTTTCTTTTCTAGTAGGAAATTTGCTCCTTGAGGAACTTTCTAGATGATTGACTAGAGTCTCAAGTCATAGAGGGGGTGGGGGAGGGGGGGATCATAAATAGACCTTGTCTCAACAACAGAGTGATTCCACCAAAGGCAATTGTTTTGGACTATCTCGATCAGGTGCACCAATTAGATAAGGATATGGAACGTTTGAAAATTTGAAATATGATATCAAGTTATTGTATGAAATTTCATTTTAAAAAACATTAATGGTTCTTTTGCAGGGCATCTAAATTTATATAGTCATCAATAGACTAGTTTGTATGTATGATGAACGGTCAAACATTTTGCAGAAAGAGTAGCCCGGATCAATTTGTGAATAATGATGCCTGAAATTTAGATAAACTGATAATATGAAGCAGAGTATCTATCTAAAACATTGTTTGGATGTCCCTGATAGCATTAGTTTTGAAATAATTGTCATTATTCCAGCTAGTACAGGATAATGCAATAATGTTTTCCTCCTGTTGATCTGAAGGTTGCTCTGTGAACTTTGAGTTCCAGAACTATACGATAATCACAAGCCAATGCAAAGGGCCCCAGTACCCCCCCAATATCTGTTGTGCAGCTTTAAAAGAATTTGCTTGCCAATTCTCTGAGGAGTTGAATGACCTCACTAACGATTGTGCATCAACCATGTTCAGCTACATAAACCTTAATGGGAAATATCCCCCTGGCCTGTTTGCCAATGAGTGCCGGGAAGGGAAGTTAGGACTGGAATGCAATGCAACAGCACCGGTGGGATCTCTTAATGATACCAGTGGAGGACAGATTGATCAAATTTTATTGCCTTTTCCGCTGTTTGTAAGTTCACTTGTCGTACTGTTCCAAACAATGTTATAAAGCCCAGAGGTTGTATGCCTTCAGATGGGGGGTGGGGGTGTGTGTGTGTCCTCTCCAACAGCTTTTGAAGAACCATGATTTTTCTGCAGCCAGCCATGTTGTACTTTCTGTATCAAATTCATCGTATTAGACCTCCTGCCCTCAAATTTTTAGTTTTTCTGTGTATTACTGGTTCCATACATGACAGATACATGCAAAGTTGGTCCTTGACCAAACCCATCATGGGCATTAGAGCCAGGAAGATTCTTGCCCCAGCAATAAACTCATGCCGGTGATCTTGAATGGTCCGTTTGGTTGCCAAGAATGGATGGGATGAGAAATGAATTTTTTTTTTCTCAATTTTACATCCTGGGTTTGGTTGCTGAGACCAAATGTGTGAGAAAATTCATTTTCCAGTGTTTGATTGCTGGGAAAATTGAACAAGATACATACTTGGTTCCATTCTATTTTGGTAATGAATTTATATCCCATTTGGTTGTTTATAGCTAATATAAATTGTTTATAAGAGAAGATATATTTGATCAGTAAATGGATCATTTTTCATAAATAATATCAATCTTGAAGTCACATGGGGAAAAGGCTTGGTTTTTAAAAGAAAAGTAGCTAAACTCCAGTGATTCAACTACTAGGTAAGTGGATTAAATTGTGTAGTTATTTACTGCACTTGTCTTTCAGCTTTGGGCTTGCATCTAAGGGGGTCTTGGTCAACAAATGGGGTTTGGGGTTTCAACTTCAAAGAAATCACCTTATGCATGGTTAAAAACACCCAAAATAGGAAGGAATATCAGGCAAATAGACGAGAATAGAGGAGGAAATCTTACGAACTTTTGTTTTTTGCCCCAACTGCAGAAAGAATCATAAAATCTTTAAGATCTACATGATGGAAGTGTAGATCTCTAAAGAAAAAATGTCCATGGATGCCAGAATCCATGGCTTCTAGCCGGCGAGTGGCAATGTCTTATCGGAGGCTTAGACTAAGTGAACGAAAATGACAGTTCAGCCCAGGGTTAGAATTCTTAGGCCAGCTCAAAATTGATGCTAATTCACAGGTGGGCATTGATATATAGAGTGGGGGTATTTCTGTAGTAGAATTCAGAAATCTGCAATGGGTCTGTCAGGAAAGAACAAAAAAAAAGGTGAAGATTGGCCACCTGGAATGTGCAGAGGTTGGGGGTGTTGCGAGGAAGACACAAAATACAATTTGCCAATCGATAGCCGAAGAAGTTGTCATACATGTAGGGATCAGGCAACAGACTGGTTAATCAATTTAGGTCACTGTCTCACCGGGGAGAATTCAATTTCATATCAGATTTTCTATGGAACCTTGTGTAATTTGGGTAAGTGTTACCCCCAAATCACATGGTCGGAAGGAAATGAGGCAACAGTTTGGTGAGCTAATTTAGGTCATCGGGGAGGATTTCAATTTCCTATCAGATTCTCCAGGAAACCTTGTGTAATCTGGACAAGTGTTAAACCCCAGGTTTTAGCCCCTTTTCCATCTCTTGAGCACAAAAAAGGGAAAATTCCTGGACAGTATGTTGAACTTTGGGGGTTGTGTCAAATCAGTCTTCAAACAATAAAATGTCTTTCTGCAGCATCTTGAACTTTCAAATTGTGTTTAATAGGTCCTTACAGTTAGTTGACTGTTAGTATGTTAGTTGACTGTTAGTCAATACCATCACATGACATTAGGTGTGCATTAAATAATTGGGTAAATTACAAAGACCCCTATACTATGGGGTCTGTGACAAAGACCCCTTGTACTTTGTTTTGCGACAAAAGACCCCTCCTGTACAATGACCGTGAGACAAAGGCCCCCTTCCGTTAGCTTTCTGTTGAAATATGCCATTGTAATATTTTTTAACCCTCATATTACCCTTGTAATAAGGACAATTGGGAGAAAACACTGTTCATCTTCCCCGACCTCACTATACACGAATGGCAGTGGTACCTCAGATTCCTTCACATTTCTCTCTCTCCTCTCTCCCTCTCTCTCTCCCCCGATTTCTCTTTTTCCCCTTTCTCTTCTCTTTCATTAACGCCCATTCTGCTTTCAGCAACAGCAGCCCAATTGTAGACCGTGAGCAAGAAGGCGATTTTCCTGCGGCTAAAGTTGAGGTAGTGATCTGCTGTCACCAACCATTTCTCAACAGCAAAATCGACACCTGGGACTGGGGTAGTGAGGAAATAGCAGTGGGGATGTATGGATTTGCAGCAACCAAAAGCGTTGCAGTCCAGGCGACGGCCACCAAATCTAAATTCTCCACAATTTCATTTTCCCTTCAGAAGTAAATTCTTCTAGCTGCGATGCTTTATCACTATCTCCTTTAGCTGTATCTAAGGAGTAAGGACCAAGGAGATGAAGTTCTTTACCTAGAACCCCATATCTTAGTTGTTTTTATATCTTCTTATTTCTACTGTTTCTTATGTATACCACAACTGAAGTTACTCCGGCGGGTTCTGCACGTTCACAGGCTATACAAAATAACTAGGATTAACATTAGGCGTTTAACAAAAAATACACGAGGACTAAAATGTGACAAAAATTCAAATAAATTATCAGATTTGATTATTGAAATTTTACAATTATGAAGCAACGATAAAATGGAAGTTCACAAATTCCAGTGTGTAATCACCCGCCTAGTCTACGTCATTCAGACTTCCAAGCTCTAGCCAAAACTAACATAGTGGGAATAAAGACAAAAGAATAATTGAACACTTCTCCAGGAAATTGAAAGCAGACAGATCTTAAGCAACTGGGGGCCGGAGAACATGATCTTGTGAGGTATCAACTGCAGCGGGTGGCATGAAATTGCCACATGTCAACCCCTGGGTAGCCAATGAACGGCATCAGCTTGTTGCCAGCAGCTTGGCCTTGGGCAGTAAATGCAGCTGGGATAGTCGTAGGGTGAGGCAGAAAACTTGGTGGAGCACTCAGAGTTTTGACTTGCTGTTCCAGCTTCTCTTTCTCTGTCTTGTCTTCAGCCTCTGTTTCTCGTCAGATTAGGGGTGGTTATGAGCCGAATTCTTCACGAGCTATTCGAGTTCGGCTCGTGAAAAGCTCGACTTGACTCGATTTCAACCGAGTTTCGAGCCGAGCTTGAGCCTAATAGAACTCGGCTTGTGAGTTCGCGAGCCAAGTTCGAATATATATATATAAAATAAAAATATTATAATTCTTAATTTTTTTAAATATCAAATAAAAAATATTTTATATATATATTTTTTTATTTTTATAAAACATTTTTTCTCAAATCGAATTCGAACCAAACCAAGTTCGAACTTACCAGTTTTTTACTCGAGCCTCATACTATTCAGCTCGAATCCACCCCTACTCGTCACGAAATTCATTCTTCTCAGCCTACCAAATTAAAAAGCAACAATGTGTAACAAAAAACAAAGATGTAGTATAATGTCACCCAGTATATTGGAAATATCAGGCTATCAGCAAATTTAAATTCACCAAACCAAATAAGGCTTAGGAGCCAACAGTCAGATTGCAAATTTGGAAAGTATTGGGTGCTAAACAAAACACATCCTTAATGTAATGACAAGAGGTATTAAAATAGCAAATTGAACCCCAGGCTTACCTTCAGCTCTTTGATCTTCTCCAGTAGGCTCTCATTTGATTCCTTTAGCTTTTAGGCTTCACTTCGCAACTGAGTAACCATTCGAACAACATCACTCAATATAGCAGCCTTGTCCATCTTGGGTGGCCTTCCAGGTTCCAAGATGGTGATGACAGCAGATCACGGTCCTGGAATTAGCCTTCCACCCCAGGCGTCGACTTTTCTGCTGAGAAATGATTGGTGACAACAGATCACTTCCCCAGCTTCAGTCGCAGGAGAATTGTCTTTTTGCTCACGATCCTGGTGGAATTGGGCTGTTGTTGTTGAAAGAAACCTGGGCATTAATGAAAGAGAAGAGAAAGGGGAAGAAGAGAGGAAAGCGGGAAGAAGAAAGGGGAGGAGAGAAAGGGGAAGGGGAAGAAGAGAAATCGGGGAAGAGAGAAACGGAGAGAGAGAAATGTGTAGGAATCTGAGGTAGAAGGGGGATTTCTCTCAATTGTCCTTGTTACAAGGGTAGTATGGGGATTAAAAAATATTGCAATGGCGGATTTCAATGGAAAGCTAACAGAAGGGGGTTTTTGTCTCACGGTGATAGTACAGGGGGGGTCTTTGTCGCAAAATAAAGTACAAGGGGGTTTTTGTCACAAACCCCATAGTACGGGGGGGTCTTTGTAATTTACCCTAAATAATTTCAAAATGACAAAATGATCCTTATGATATTTTTCTAACCATTTTCCCCTTTTCGTTTGAGTGTTAGAAAAAGGAAAGGGGGAAAAGGGTTATGAAACCAAAAACCGATCAACTGTTGAAGCCAAGGTTTTAAAAACTGACCTAGAAATAGAACTGTTCTAGTTACCAATTTCCGGGTCGAATGGTTTGGACGATTTGCTATATTAGGATGAATATTTTTTCATATAAAAGTTTTACATGAGAATGGAGATGAGGTTGGAGTTGTCAGCTGAGAAAGAAAAAAAAAAAAGGAAAGAAGAAAGAAAGGAAGGAGAAAAAGGAAAATAAGAAAATGAGAGAAAGGAAAGGGAGGAAGGAAAGAGGGAAGAAAGAAGGAAGAGGAAGAGGAGAATTTGATGCTCACCAACGGCAATAATGGCAACGACAACAACGAGGCAATGGCAACAAAGGCAGATCTCAGATCTAAGATCTATTTTTCTCCAACTTCTTATTCTTCTTCTTCTTGTCAATCTCCCACATCTGCTTTGCTTATCTTGACATACACCACCGTGATTAGAGGCCTAACTCAAAGGAGACTGTTTATTGTCCATAGCCAGAATGCAAACGCAAATAATGTTATTGGACATCACGCATTATGAATTTCTGAAGTAATTTTCTGAGGGCTACATGCTTATCTATATTATTATAAATCAGATATTTTCTGCCTTAATTTTGATGTAGGTTATAAAAGTTAAATGGGTAAATTATAAAGACCCACCCCCTACTATAGGATCAATGATAAATGCCTTCCTGTACTTTATTTGTAACAAAGATTCTCTAAACTTTTACGTTGCTACAAAGACCCCCGGTCATCTGATTTTTTTTTTTTTTGGTAAATCAGTAAGTCATAGAAGATACTAAATTACCAAAATGCCCCTCTTTATAATTCAAGAGGCGTGAAATGAAATTTTCAAAATGAAAAAATGAATAAATCCATTTCCCCTTTTTGTCTATTTCTCGCCCATTTTCTTATTTTCTTCTTAACCCTTACACGAACATATCGTTGGAGAACCATTTGACGAGAACCCTACATTGTTCTTCACCGAAAGTTATTGTCACAAATTCACAATCAGCTGTCTGCTAAGCTAAGCGATACCAAAAAATCACCCACATCTTTTATATTGTTGCCAAAGAAAAATGTAATTGTGTCACCATCACCAGAGAAAAACCTATGTACAAGTATGCCAAATGAGAAATTTTTCCAAAGTCAACCAACAGAACACTAATAGAGGGGGAGGGGGTCTTTTTTGCAATGTCAAGGGAGTCTTTGTTGCAAAAAAAAGTACAAGGAATATTTATCACTGACTCCATAGTATAAGGGGGACCGGATCTAGTAGGCACAACATAAGTAAGCATTTGATAAGTATTTTGACAAGTGTCAAAAGTGGGTTTTAATCTTTTTCAAGGATGGGGTGAGGGCATTTTAAGGGACAGGTGTAAAAAAAAAAAATCAAGTGCTTATTGAACATGCTTACAACCTTGTGTCTACTAGTAGGGGTGAGCATAATTCGGTTAAAACCGAATAACTAAACCAAAAATTTTGGTTTCGGTTTTTTCGATTCGATTTTTTCGGTTTTTGGTTAAATCGGTTCGGTTATTTCGGTTTTTTGTTATTTTGGTTTTTGAAATTAGAATTTTGGTTAACCAAATTAACCAAACTTTTTATTATTATATATAATATGTAATATGTAATATAATATATAATATATAATATATTTATATTTATATATTAATATATAATATACTGAAATTTGATTTCATAATATATATAATAAAGTATATATTATTAAAATTCGGTTTTAACCAAAATAACCAAAAACTGAACCGAAAATTTTGGCTTTGGTTATTTCGGTTTCAGTTCGATTTTTATTTTTTTAGTTAGGTTTTTAAAATTTTGGTTTATTCAGTTCGGTTTCTAACCGAATAAACCGAATGCTCACCCCTATCTACTAGATTGGAACTGAGTACAAGGAGGTCTTTATTATTTACCTAAGTTAAATTTGATAGTGTATTATTAACTAATAATTTTACTTGTACACGTACTCATATACATAGCACGTGACCTCACACTAAGTTAGACCAAGTATGTGTTTGGTTCCGTGAACATTTATAGATGGGGTGTTTCTCAGATAAAAGTTCAATCGAAAAACGTTACTTTAAACACTTCTTGTTTTTGTTGTTTGGTTGGAAGTTTCAAGTAATACCCCATAGGCCCATAAAGCTATCTTCCACCTCAGTTTACAATGCTCTAGGTAACATTTCATTTCAATAAACGTTGGAGGGTTGGGAAAAGCCAAAATTTGAAGTTTCCCCCAACACTTCATGCACATAAATTCAAACATTTCTGTTTTTTAATGTTTATTTTGATAAATGATTAAAACCAAATAATGGTTTCATACACAACAAACACCAATGCTTAAGTGGTGCTGATGTGGCAGTATTTTTCCAATAAACACCCACATAACGAGATTAAATCAACCCCCTCACAAGACTGCCCCCCACAACGTCCCACAGCACATCACTACTGTATATTGGGAACATCTTCCAATAATAATATCAGAAATGATGATATCATCATCGGAAGATATTCCCAATACACAAGGAAGATGTGCTGTAGAACTGTGTGAGAGGCAATCTTGTAGGGGGCTGATTTGAACTCCCACATAACCCAACATAGACTAAATTATCTAAGTAGTTAAACAAGGCTGTGTTTGAAACACTAAATAATTGTTTGAAAGTTGAAATTATACTTGGAAAAGATACAACCACTATAAAATATAAATTGACAAAATAAATGGGAACAGAAGATCCCAATAAATTGCACGTGAAAGGCAACCGCAACCTCCATTATCCGTATAGCCGTGTAAGCACACCACCACAACCAAAGCAATTGGGAGAGACTAATTAAAATTATTTGATCAGAGAATACGAATCCATTCATACGGGTTGCATTACCCCAGGACTGAAAGACTGCTTCCAAGATTTGGCAACTGGTGCAAGGTTATATAAGAAAGAACTGATCAAATTGTCTTTGGGCTTAAAAAATTACTGATCAAAGAGAGAAAAGGATTATTTAATTTTATACATTTTTGAAGTAAATGGTGTGCACATTTGATTGATGAATTTGTAGGGGATATCGACCGTAGCAGAATGGAGAGAGAGAGAGGATGGGAGTTGGGAGCAGGGAAGAAGTATTGTTGGGACAAGATAGATTTGAGGAGAAAAACTGAAGGGGTTACTTGGCATAGACTCGCAGCCTAATGAAGGACTTGAGGGTGCCTAAGGTTCTCAACCAGTCAACTTTATAAAGTAGGAATCCCGGCTGAATTGTATTAGGTAAGGTTCAAATTATCGATATGTATTGGCCTGTATCGTATTGGAAGCTTCCCAATACATCTTTATAGAGGTTGTATAGGAGTTTTGATGGGATCACGGGGTGGATAGACCTTAAACCGGCCCCTCTGAATTGGATTTGAAAAAAACTAAAAAAAATTACTGATACGCCTCTATCAACATATCAGGCATATCAATATTTTGAACCTTGCTAGAGTACTCCAACCAAAATTACAGTATGATATTTTTAAAATCAGGAAATTTTCGCACTGTACACTGGGTTTTCCCAAAATTTTGACATCCCCTAAGCCCCTGCTAGTCGAGAAAGGTTTAGCTGAGCACAATGGGTGTTCAGCAGGCTGTGGAACTAATTATAAGGTTCCACGCCAGCAATAAAATGCATAGACTGTGGAATCAATTATAAGGTTTGTCTTCACAAAATCCATCCTCACAGCCTTTGCAACTGTTTATTGGGAGAAAATCTAAGTAGGTGTTTGGCATCGGTGTTGGGAACACCACACCATTTTCTCATAAAAATGGTGTTGGGCATGTGTGAGTTGTAAGTTTTTGTTTGAA